AAATGAGAAACAATCTATTATCCAGGAATAAAGAAATATTTAAATATTTTATACTGCTTATGTGGTATAAAATAATGTGGGAGCATTAAATGCTCATGAAGTAAGTAAAGAATATGAAAATATCTATCATAGAATATTAAGGTTAAAATCATCATATGGAGTTACTCTTACAGAATAAATTCAGCTTTGTAGAAATCAATATATATGTGGAAGAAATTGAAATAAGTTTACCACAACATTAACACCACTGTGTCTAGGTGGTGACATTATTGGTGGTTTTTATATTTATTTTTTGATTCTACTCTGTAGTGTCCATTTTTTCCCTAAATAACATAGTCTTCCTATAATAAGGAAAAGATTTTAAAAGATTAATGCTTTTTTAAGAGCTATAAAATCCAGTTCGAATAATTACACTCAGGTCAAGAACTTCCTTGCAGAAGTCAACTCTCCTACTAGAACTATGAGGAGGGAGAATTTTCTAGTAGAAATCCTTCAGTGATAAATTACTCAGGCTCTTAGAGGAATAAGACGCAATTAGCCAAACTCAATAAGGTCCAATCTGGAGTTCTACAGCCAGTCTTTACAATGTAGAGCTCCTGGTGCCCAGACCTAGACAAAACTCTGTTAACAGCCTACACAAAAGACTTGATCTCCTTTGTGTTCCTGTAATATTAGCCACGTTATCACTTGTTTTGACAGGACTGAACCAAAAGCCCAGAAGACTTAGAATCATTGCCTTAATATTTGGATTAAGAATGCTAACTGACATCAGTCAACATGCATAAACCCATATTGGCATTTTTTCACTATGTTGAGTCCTTCTGATTTTGCATATTTTGGTCTACTTTTAGGCCAGAGCAAACCCCAATTCATTTTGCCTCCATTGGTGGCAGTGCTTGCTGTGTAGAAGAACAGGGCCACTCAGCTATTTCAGCGTTTTAGACTGAGGAGTTGTGCAACATCAGTAAAGAGAGATCTTTCAGCTGACATATAAGAGCAACTTTATGCCTATGAAAAATACAGGTATTTTCCCTGTAGGAGATTACTGTTGTCTCTATCACTACCTGAAAGAAATTTTAAGAGCATCTGCTTCTAAACCACAAGCAAACACTGAGGGCTACAGACCATGCCTGGTTCTGATAAAATAGGACCAGCATGGAAGACAGTGAGGGGCTAAGTGAATAAAACTTGTTTATTCCTCCTGGACTCTTTCAGCCTCGTTCTCTATGATATCCAGACACTTTGTTTACCTCTGTTTTTCTCTAATCATTTTTCCATCCATCACAGAGCTTCCCACTCCTCCTACACATGCTTTCCCATGGGGTAATCCTTCTGTTTTATTTTAAAGCCCACCACTATTTGTTTGAGGCAGCAAAATATTAAATCCTGGTTATTCGGTACATAAATTCTATGCTCATTTTCCCATATTTGACAAGTAATCTTAATAATAAAAATGGGAACCTTGGACAAAGAAATGCTTGATTGCAAACATTCACCTTATTTTAAGTTGGAAGAGGTATACTGATGTGGTAATAAATGGTACAGAACATTATCTGATACGTTTTTAATCCTACGAAAGTCTAAACTGTACCACATACTATTGGATTTCTTTTGCTTCTCTAGGAGACCCAGTCATTTTAAATAATAGAGTAATGCTTCTTGTGGAGCCTCTTGTAACAACTACACATATGTGTCATCCTTACCAGGTTACACAAGAAAATGCGAGAAATCTAGCAAATGAACATCTTTGCCTGGGGCCACTAACTGTGGTCAAATGGAAACTGAATGATCAGAGAAGGTTTTCTTTCCTTCCCCAGGAAAGGAAGTGCAACTTTACTACAGCTATGTTATTGATCTAAGAAAGGAAGAATTGAGGAGTGAGCTCCTCTCCCATTTCACAGAAAATCATAATGGCTATCAGATGTGAATTGCCTCAGGGCCCCGCCACCAACCTCCATGCTCTTGCACTCACCCTTATCTCTTCCCTTATCACATCAAGTGACAAGATTCTTTTCCTAAATCCTGAGTTTGCCTCCATATGTGCTCTACCTCATGTCTTCAGAGACCTCTTTGCTCAGTTACCCTCCCTTGCTTAGGCATTTGCAATATTTTTCCTTCTTTTAGAATTTTCATATGTGCATATAAATATATGCAAATCACACCCATGTTAAAAACCACAGTTTTTTAAAAAATATCTTTTTCTAACCATTTTCCATTTACAACATAGCTGTGTGTGTGTGTGTGTGTGTGTGTGTAGTCAGTAAGTCCTGACTCTATGTCCTTATTCTTCACTCAGCCTACTGCAATCAAGCATCTACCCTACAAAGCAATGAAACTCAAGACTTCCTCCACATGAATTCATGGTCATTATTGTTTCCCTGAGCTCCACACTCATCTATACAACTTCTTATGATGTTTTTTTCCCTTGACAACATCAAAGATACCTTAAGGTCTATAAATGAAAACTTAACTCACGGTCTACCACCTCTAAATGTCTAATCTCTGTAACCTCTGTCTCTGAGAATGCTACCACCACCCACCTTTCTACCCAACTCCAAAACTTAAGGTTACACTAAATGTCATCCTTTCCTTCACCTTCAACTGCCATCAAGGCCAAAAGTTGTATTGTGTGTCAACTATTTCTTCAGTAAGTCACACCTGTCCATTTCCCATGTCATTCTTTTTAGTTAAGACTCTTTATACTCTGCTTAAACTATTAAAATGGCTTTCTCACTGGATTTCCCTTAGTTCAGCCTGACCACTATTAAATCCACTTTCCCTACTATTCATAGAGTGATTGGCCCAAAATTAAAGTTCTTTAAATTCTTCCAATCTTTTTACTTTACCATTAGAACAAATTCAGGCTCCACAACATGATATTCAATATTTTTTTTTGTGAGAGAGAGAGAGCATGCAGAAAAAGGGCAGATGGGGAGAGGGAGAGAAAATCTTATGTAGGCTCCATGCTCAGCACAGAGCCTTACTCAGGGATGATGCAAAACCCAATGTAGGGTTTGCTCTCACAACTCTGGGATCACGATCTGACCCCAAATCAAGAGACAGAAGCTCAACTGACTAATCCACCCAGGCACCCTGACACTCAATAATTTTATCATCTAGTCCCTGAATACCTTTCTAATCTTATCTCAGCCAGCTACTACTGTTTCATATCCTATGCTCCAGACATATTAAAAAAACTTGGAATGGTCAAATATGTCATACTTTCTCATGATCATGTGGGTTCATATATCTCCCCTTTGCCCATGAACATGATTTCTTCTGTTTTTCTCCAGCCAAATTACATGAAACTTCTGAAAATTACTCAAGGGTTATATTTTCACTGATGTGTTTGGTTCCTGCCCCAATCTTCCTCCAGACCTGTCTTGTTTCCTTTTCTCTCTGCTCTCAGAGACACTTGTGTTGACTTCTTTCTCGCACTTTTTTCTTCTTTCATTATGGTAAGAACATGTAACATGAAATCTACTCTCTTAATAATTTTTAAGTGCATAATATTGTTAATTATAGGCATCATGGTATACAGAAGATCTCAGAACTTCATCATTTTCCTTAAGTGAAACTTTATGTCTATTGAAAAGCAATTCTCTATTTCTCCCTCCCCATTAGACTCTGACAACCACCATTCCACTCTATGCTACTATGACTTTGACTATTTTAGATACTTCATATAAGTGGAATCATGCAGTATTTGTCCTTCTGTGACTGGCTTATTTCATTTAGCATAATGTTCTCAAGGTTCTTTCACATTGTCACATATTACAAGATGTCCTTCTTTTCCAAAGCTGAATAATATTCCAAAGCTGGGTGTCCACAACATTTGCTTTATCCATCCATCTTCTGTTGAACTTGTAGGTTGTTTCTCTATCTTGGCTATTGTGAATAATGCTGCAATGAACATGGGAATGCTAATATCTCTTTGAGATCCTTACTGTATTTCTTTCAGATAAATCTCTAGAAGTGGAGTTGTTGGATTATATTAAAAGCTACAGTAATTAAGACAGTGTAGTACTGGCATAAATACAGACATTTATACCAATAGAACAGTCTAGAGAGCCCAGAAATAAATCCATGCATTTACAGTCAACCAATCTTCAACAAGGGTGCCAAGAATACACAATGGGTAAATGATGGTCTTTTCACAAATGGTGCTGGGAAAACTGGACACCCACATGCAAATGAATGAAATTGGACCCTTACCTCACATAACACACAAAAATCAATTCAAAATGGATTAAAGACTTAAATATAAGACCTTGAACTATAAAAATTCTATACAGTTCTATTAAAAAAAACAGAAGGAGAAAGTTTCATGATGTTGTATTTGGCAATGATTACATGGATATGAAAATGGCTTTTAAAAATACAGGCAACAAAAGCAAAACTGGATAAGACTATTTCAAACTCAAAAGCTTCTACACAACACAGGAAACCATCAACAGAGTGAAATATATTCCTAGCCCTTTTTATACTGCCTCAAGTTTGTTGCTTTTCTCATCTTTCTTCAGGCACATGCATTGCTTGCCAAATGAGCGACCTACCTGGAAAGCCAAACCCTGTGATATTCAGGATAAAGGTGAAGGATGATCCTTCTATTGGTGATTTTGGCAGGGGTGGGAAGAATGGAAAGTGAGTTGGAGGAAGGAGAAAAAAAGAATTTTACATAAGCTTCCCAGGAAATTAACCATAATATTATTGAATATCACGGGATTACTCCTTGTTTCTTGCTGGCCCCTAGTTTGAAGCACTAAGTATAATGATTTATGAAAAAATGTGATCTCTCTATTATGGAGAAATCTTCTTTCCCCAAAAGTCAATTAATTTCTCAGCTAGTCTCCATGATAGTTGCTACAAACGACCAAGGACATTTCTATCTTAGACATGCAGACATGGTTCTGACTTCTCTTCTTTAACCCTAGTCTCACAGCCTCACTGCAGAACAAGACTGAAAACTCTGAAGACCCAAGAGGATTGAAGCTCCTTACCTGAGACAATACACATATAAAATCAAAGAAGAAATGATGAACAGGAGGATGTAAATTAGCACTGTGAGCATTACACCAAGAATTCCCGACTGCATGGTCCTTACAAACACCCAGTACAGCTTTGCTGCATCAGCTACAGGAGTCTCCCCATGCTGTGTAAGCCGCTGAGAAAACAAAATACAAAATTAAAAAGTAAGGATGGAGGGGTGCCTGGGTGGCTCAGTCGGTTAAGCATCTGACTTTGGCTCAGGTCATGATCTCACAGTTTATGGGTTCAAGGCCCACATCAGGCTCTGTGCTGACAGCCAGCTCAGAGCCTAGAGTCTGTTTCAGATTCTGTATCTCCCTCTCTCTCTGACCCTCCCCTGCTCATGTGTACACACTCTCTCTTTCAGAAATAAATAAAACATCAAAAAATAAATAAGGATGGAAACACTGATCATCAAGTGAGATTAATTTTATACACAAAATCCATAGGATACCATAATTTGTATTTACATTAAATTTTCAAGGTACTAAAGATCACCAGATCTTCAGCTATGTAAAAGAAAAGAAAAAGACTTGATTTGCATGGCTGGTTTGATAGGGTTTTTTTCCCCCTCATTTTCCCTATAAGCTTTTAAATGTGTACACTCTACATGCAATTCATAAAGTAAAAGCCATGTATTATTTATGTACTATTAACTTCTGAATTTAATGAACACAAGATATGAAGAAATTAAATATGATGGTGGAAAGATCCCTTTCTCTCTGAAGCAGATTTGAAAGGAATTTAATTTGTGCTATGCATAAAATAGATGGCTTATTTTAGAAACTTATAAAAAAGTTATCAGGCTATTTAATGTGAACTTGGAAACCAAAGTTTACATTAGGTCAATTTAACAATAAGTCCTTATAAGAGACAACGAAAAGCATATCCTACACTGAGTTTGAAATAAATAGAAGGCAATGAGGTCTTTAAAAACAATATTAAATGTTGAAGATCTAGAACACTGTCATTTGACACCTTTGACCTTTGAGTTTTATAAAACATAAATGTTCTATAATTATGACTCCAATGATATCAATTGGAAGTAATATGCAATATAAATGTAAATAAGGTATGTTTTCTTCAATGTAAGAAAGAAGAAAAAATTTCTTCACTTTTTAAAAAGGCAATTATATAAGTATAGCTTAAAGGGGCATATTCAAAACTAATCTATATCATGTATGTATAGATAAAATCAGAAGCCTAGAGAGGTTAATCTGTTATTTCGCTTTACCAAAATATCCTTTCACATTTGGGCAGTGACTAGAAGGCAGATCTTCTGACTCTCAACTGCTGCTTCTTTCACTATCACGCCAAAACTTTGATTTTTATGTTCTGTACTTGTTAATCAATCAGTCAATCTTGCCAAATACAAATCTGTCACTTGGACTTTAGGCAGAAGATCTGTTAAGTGTTGACATAGATTTCTCCTCTTCTAGATCTAACCTTCCTGCTATTTCTTAAAGAAAGAAATTGACACAGTATTCACTGATGGAAAAAAAAAAAGATATAAATTTGGTGCCAACAACATCATCTAATCAATAGATGCTTATCATTCATTTGATCCATACACATTGTTGTGAATGCCCACCATGCATCATTAAGCTCTGAAGATAAAAGAGTGAATAAAATTAGAGAAAAGCCCTATTTTTTGGAGCTTACATTTAAGTTGGGGGTGGGGGAGAAAGGAAGTGATAGTAAGCATGTAAGTAAGATTAAGTAATACATATGGTATAGTAGAAGATAGAATCTCAAAGAAAATCGTAAAGCAGAAAAAAGTATAGGAGGGATGGGGGTGTGTTATTGAATACGGCAATCTGAAAAGATGTCATTTGAGCAAAGATTTAAAGGGCATAATGGAATGATGATAGGCCCACCAGATGGCATTCAGAACACACTGCCCATGCTTCATCTTTGTGTGTGATTCTCCAGCTGGTGGTAAGTTCCTGCCTGGGTCACTGGGGCCATGGCTGTTATACCTCATACTGTACACAGATCACATGTCGTATCACTTCATTACAATCTTTGTCCTCATTCCTTTCTTCTTTTATGGGTGATGCCTTATATTTCTCAAAGTGTATTTCCAGTTGGCTGTCCCAACAATACTGTGAAATGAGCAAGGTAGGTGTTACTATATTATTACTTTTTTTTGTGATACATATGAAGTTGAAGACTGAAGAGGTTAACTGACTTCTCCAACGTTATCCAGCTGACAAATGGCAGAACTGGGACCAGAACCCAGTTCCCCCTTGGAAATTGCTCTATTACTAAGCTTTTTCTATTACTCCATGATCATTTCCAATGAATTTTCAAGAATGATTTGCTGAATGAAGACACGTGTATTCTACCCTTGTTTGAGCCTGGTTCTTATGTAATGTTCTTATCTCACTATCTATAGTGATAGCAGAAACAACCTCAAACTTATTCCATTTCTTTTAAAATAGTGTGCAGAGAGGGGTGTCTGGGTAGCTCAGTTGGTTAAGCATTCGACTCTTGGTTTCGGCTAGGACATGATGTTAGGGTTTTGCGAGTTCAAGCCCTGCATTGGGCTCTGGGCTGGCAGCTAGGATCTTCTTTGGGATTCTCTCTCCCTCCCTTTGTCTCCCTCTGCCCCTCCCCCACACCCAATATATATCTCTCTCCATCTGTCAAATAAATGAACTTAAAAAAATAAAAATAAAATCCTGTTCAAAGATTATATAGTCAATAAATATATGCTGATCAATTAAAACATTCAATAGCAAATGCTTCCTCTACTTTTTAATCTAGATTGGGGCTTAGGCATAGAAAGAATTTATGAACTCAGTGGAATTGTCATATCATCAGTGGGAGTCTGGGAATTCATTGCCAACCACTGAGCCAGCAAACTGAGAGACGAACAAAATGTTATTAGCACCATCAACAGCCACTCAATGCTTCAGCCTCAAACCATTCCATCTGCCACATCTCCTTTTAGAATGCCATAAAAAAATGAATCCAGAGCAAAACCTATCAGGAAAATAAGGTAGCCTCTCTCTCGGCTGGCTTACTAGGAACCAAAACAAGTGATCCCCAGGTTTATCTGCTGAAAGGAAGGGATAAAAAAACAGGAAATATGAACTCAGACAACTCCAATCTCATGAGTGACATTCAGTCTATGATAACTATGAAGTCATGTGGAGCAGTAGCTCTCTAAATTTAATGAGCATGAGAATCATCTGGAAGACTTGTTAAAACACAGTAGCCTCTTCTCAGAGACTGGGGTCCTTCCCAGAGTTTTTGACTCACAGTTTTGGTGCAGGGCCTGAGATTTTACATTTCAGTTTGCATCACAATTAAGTTCCCTGGTAAAACTGATGGTTATTGGCCCAATGACCTAGTTTCGTGAACCACTGCTTTAGAAAAGTACCTCCAAACTTGGTATGCTATTACATCACCAGAGAGCTTTTTAAAACATGTTTACTTATTTTTAAGAGAGAGACAAAGCATGAACAGGGGAGGGAGAGAAAGAGAGGGAGACACAGAACCCGAAGCAGGCTCCAGGCCCTGAGCTGTCAGCACAGAGCCCGATGTGGGGGTCGAACCCTTGAACCCTGAGATCGTGACCTGAGCTGAAATCAGACACTCAACCTACTGAGCCACCTAGGTGACCCTGCAGAGCATGTTAAAATGTGTATTTAGGTTTAACTAATGAGAGTGTCCATGTGCCGACTCCAACACTGTTGCTCTGTGGGTTACATGCAGCTTCAAAGTTTTTTTAAAGACAGCAAAGTTAGATGTCATCTGCAATGAAGCATGATGGATTCTAATTGGAGAATCAATAATTGTGCAGATTGGGAATGAGCCTTCAGCTTTTCTTTCCAAGTGGAGAAGGCTATGGGTGCTGTGCTCATCTATTAGAATCCAAGTCATCTTCCATCAGGTTACAGACCTCTGAACTGGTTCTGAGAGGGCCCTGCTAGAGGCTACTTTCCTATAGATTACATCAGAGGCCCCAGAGTAAATTAAGACTGCTCATTTTGTCAGCTGCCTTTGATACAGTGGACCATTCAGCTATTAATATCTCTAGAGGACTCGGATGGAATACGGAAAGCCATTTCAGGAGGGATGCAGACATTCTGTCCGATGAGATCGCAGAAGATGATCGGCATCGCTGCCCATCCTCCCCAAATGGTCTCACACGTGGTGTTGTGGATCACACTGGCACCCCATCTGCTCAATAGGCACGTCAGGCCTCTGGGAGGCATTGTGAGATGCCACAGAACATGATCTTACCAGAATGGCACGTCCATAGCACTCTGCTCTACACTTCCTGCTCAACCAACCTTGAGGGCGTGGTCTCATCCTCTCGAACCTGAGGTCGGAGGGAAGTAGGAATGTGGACAAAGTGGCCCCAGCTTATCCACTCAGAATCAGAAAAGCGGCCACTGATCAGGGTGGAAGCACTTAAAGATGGAGTTGAAAACACAACCACTTTTGACCTGTCATCAAGGTGTTAGATGATACTGAGGCTTCAGAGAGTGGTTGCAGGTTAGAACATGGAAACAAGTAAGCCTTCCAAACACTGATCAACTTTCCTTGGTATGAGGCTCTTCCTCCAATCTTCAGCAGTGAGACTAGAAACTAGATACATCAGTAGGTTTAAGGTGCACTGATCTTAATTCATTTTAATAATGTTAAATGATCTACATGGCTACAGGGTCAACTACTGCACTTGTCTGCAGGTTCTAAGCCATTCTAGCAGAGGTCATTCTAATCCAAAAGAAGCTGACAGAATCCCCACACAAAGCCTAACAAACCATTAATGGATTCATTACATCTAGGTCCCAGTCTTCTTAAGAACAACTCAGGAACCCTGAGGAGGCGAAAGCCCCATCTAGCAAACCCAGGAGAGGGAGAGGCCTTCTTAGGAAAACATCTAGCATCTTGTCACAGTGCCGTCTGGTCTGTGGTGCCTACATCTTTGGTATCACCTAGGAATCTGTTAAAATGCAGAATCTCAGACTCCAGCTGCTGAATCAGGATTTGCATTTTAATAAGATCCCCAGGTGAGGCAAACACATGAGAGCTGAGAAAACCTGCTATAGGGGCGCCTGAGTTGTTCAGTCGGTAACCGTCCAACTTTGGCTCAGGTCATGATTTCATAGTTCATGGGTTCAAGCCCCACATCGGGCTCTGTGCTGACGGCTAGCTCAGAGCCTGGAGACTGTTTCACATTGTGTCTCCCTCTCTCTCTGACCCTCTCCTGCTCACGCTGTCTCTCTCTCTTTCTCCCTCAGAAATGGATAAAACGTTAAAATAAATAAATAAATGAAGATGAAACCCTTGTTCCAGGCTCTTAAAAAAAAAAAAAAAGAAAACCTGCTGTAGCATCATGTGACCTGAGAGAAATAAAGCAGTGACTGGCTTTGCCCATCCACAGCGCCCAGGACGCTAGCTTCACGATGCAGTTTGAACAGCAATTTGGTCTTGAGTTCTTTTTTTTTTTTTCATATTTTATTTATCTCTGAGAGAGAGAGAGAGAGAGACAGCGTGAGCAGGGGAGGATCAGAGAGAAAGTGAGACACAGAATCTGAAGCAGGCTCCAGGCTCTGAGCTAGCTGTCAGCATACAGCCTGATGCGGGGCTCAAACCCATGGACCGTGAGATCATGACCTGAGCCGAAGTTGGACTCTTAACCGACTGAGCCACCCAGGCACCCCAATTTGGCCTTGAGTTCTAAAAGCACGTTTCAAACACTGTTAACAAGTGGAGTCCATCAACATGCCCCATGTCTATGATCTGCTTGGCACAATGAATAATGTCTGAACACATGGAAACCCATTGGGAACCTTTTCTTTTTCTTCCTGATAAGAGAGATCTGCCAATTGTAGAATATTATTTGATAAATTAAGATAATTTTTAAATGAATATTTGATCATATTGATTTATTTGTAGTACCCATCTGCTCTCTTGCTTGGGGTTACATTTCATAGCCAGATCTACAGTACAAAAATTTAGTTAAAATTCAGATTTCCTTCCCTTTTGTCAGCATCACAAAAGTCAAAATAAATGCCTACAGACTAAGTTTTTAAATTTTATTTATCACTTAAAATGTCTAAAAAGCTCTTCTTCTTCTTGAGTACACTTATTACAGAAGAGTATTAGATCACAAAGCAAATAAATCATCTAACCAACTGAAGGAACCACTGTATGATTACTTTTTTAATAAAGTTTGGCTGTGAAGATCATTACTACTTAAAAGTAAGTTACCAACAAAAGTTATAAATAAAACTTCTCTAGCATAGTTTTTTGAAAACGCACCAATTAGTTTGGATCTGCCCTCCACCATTATTTCTTGCTTATTTTGCAAATGTTCTCTTAAGATGCTAAAAACACATCCAATGATAATAATAGACATCCATAATTTTTTTATCATGCGGAAAACTTAATAACTTCAATTTAAGACACATACTGAATTGTTCATGATTCTTTAAACCTCCCACATTAACTGATTCGTGCACTGAAGCTAAATTCTATGTCAAGAACTCATATCCTGATTATTTTACTTGACTTACCCCGAGGACAGTATCCACTATAAACACGGCCAATGGGTCTAGAACTGTCCATAGTCCCATGGTAATGATTAACTTTGACAAGACATCAGGGGAAGACACAAACAGTAGCTGACAGCCTCGTCTGATGAGAAACAGAGGAAGTATCACGGCATTCAGCATTAAAGGACCCACCACAACTACAAGCAACTCTTCTCTGATGTGAAGTGAAGAAGGTGGGTAGCAAAGCTCAACCGTGAAAGGGGAAAAATGGAATCTGTGGGAGAACAAAGCAAACATGTATGTGTAAACAAGAGAAACTACACAAGATGCCAGACATAAAAGATCGTTTTTAAATGGCATGTTTTCTTTTTTTTAATATACAAAAAAATGACGTTTGATACTACCCCCAGAGCGGGTGTTAGAAAGCTTCACCTTTGCCCACCCCAAAGTCACACCCCAAGGGCTCACTTTCCGGTAAAAGGCTAATTCTATCTTGTCCACGGTTCTTATATCATAGGCAACAATAGAAAGAATATCAATTCTATCCACTGAGCAGAGTATTCTATGTTCTATAAGAATTTCCCTGCAAGTAACACATACTGACAGGTAGGGGGTTTGAAATGCAAAATATACCAGTGGACCCAGCAACAGGTCAACCTCTGCCGGAGACCAGAAATACAAATCGGTCTAGTAATTCTTCCTAGTTTTAGCATACCTGATTAGTTTGCTGTGATTCCTTTTAGATAGACCCTTACATACAAAACAACAATGCTCAGCTCACAACAAAACTACAGTATCTCTTAGTTGTTCGGACACAACCTAAAAACCTAAGGGTTGAATCCACGTGGGCCCAGTACAGATTGACCTAGGCTTTGGCGCCTTTTTTCCAAGACAAATTGAGACTTCACTGTGCTCTCAGTTTCCCCACCCCTGCATTTCAGCCTTTGTAATTCTGATTGTGCATCCTACTTACCAGCTCAATATGAAAAAGAGTTCTTCATTTTATCTACTCCCTGACCTTTGCTTTGATGGAAGTTTTATGCCTCGTTCCTATGCAGTTGTGAATATCAAATGAAGTAATGTGTGTACATTTCTTAGCAGATTGCCCAACATAGATTAAGAGCCGAAGAAATGCTCATTGTTGCTGTCATTAATGTCACATCCCACAACCACAGTGTGGAGCCTAGGATGTGAGCCTACAGATCTAGACAACAGCCAACAAAATATCCTATCATATCTTGAGTCTTCTGACGCTTAAGAAATCAGATAGCTGGGCTGCCCAGATATTTTTCTCACAGTCCCATTTTTTTTTAAACAGCCAATAAAGAGAGAGTGCCTTTTTTTTTAATTGAAGAAGTAAAAAAGCAGTTGGCAAAAAGCAACTAGCTCGACAACATTTGTCCCTTCTATTTTGGAAGCCCTCACATAGACAAAGGAAAAAAGGGAAAGAGAAAAACAAAAAACAGAGAAGAAGGGAAGAAAAATAATATCTATGTAAAAATTCTCCCTTAAAGATACAGTAATTTATTATATGTAAATGTGCATATACAGCATTCATGTATTTGTGATTTAATTTCAAAACATGATAAAAAACTGTGTTTTTTATGTATACTATATATACACGCTTTCTCTTTCATGGTGTCTGAAGGTTGTTTGCAGTCTCCTTAATTGAAAATACACACACATCTTTACTTTTATCTGGAATATCTACATTTGGGAAAATGAATTTTACTTATATTGATTTCTATCTGTTTGTCTATCTATAGTGTCTATGGAATCATGTTTATGGAGAGATAACTTGTAAAGTGTCATCTTTTTCCAGGGTATAATGGCCCAGAAAGCTGCCTAGTTTTACTTTGGTAATTGTTTGAATTCAATCACTTTGCAGAAGAAGCAATCTTTGCCTCTCTGCGTATGGGTGATAAATCATACTTACATTACTTCTAAACTACCCTCAGCCTGAGTCACTCTGATATAATCAAAACCGAATAAAATATTGTTGCTAAATTCCTTTTTGGATTCTGCTCAGATATTAGAACATACTGGAATCTGCTCAGTTTTAAATAAATATCGATGTGCCAGTTATGTATTTGTAAATATAGGCCCAGAAGATGAGAATGTAACAGATGTTCCTGCCCTTAGATAAAGACATTTCTTGTCTTTTCGAGTCAGACCTGCATTTTAGGTCTTGTGCTAAATGCACGGAGAGGAGTTTTGCACTTTCATTTGGCCGATCAAGATGAAAATTCATCCCTTTGACTTTCCAGGGAAAGCACTCACTTTGTAACAGGAGTTGAAATGGCCTGGAGGAAAAGCCACTGGCCAAGGTAATGCAGGTACAGTCTCAGGAACCAGAGGGAGGCAATCAGCAGGATGATGTACCAGAAGCTCTGGCTTCGCCACTCAGCTAACTGAAGTTCCGAAAACACTGACACCAGCCCAAAATGGAGATGCTTGAAGAATTCTCTAGATCTGGTACCTCCAGCACCTGGAGAATAGCTGCAAACAAAGAAATAATGAATCCTGAGCTTAAAGTACAACCAGCAGTAAAATATCTTGAAATGATAATAAAGACATTGTGAAAGTCAAATTGAATGAAATTGTTCCTCAAATACTTGGGCTCAAGTTATTTCTATTTCATTTGGCTGTAATGGAGGACTCCCAGGGAACATGGAAAGAAGGGTGCACGTAGAAATGGAAATCAAAATCACATTGAGATATCTCCTCACACCTATTAGGATGATTACTGTCAATAATTAAAAAATTGAAAAAAAAGAAGAAGGAGAAGGAGGGGAAGGAGGAAAAGGAGAAGAAGAGGAAGAAGAAGAAGGGAGGAAAAGAAAAAGGAAAGCCATAAAATAACAAGTGTTGATGAGGATGTGAAAAAGTAGGAACTCTTGTGCACAGTTGGTAAGAACATAAAATGAAGCAATTACTATGGGAACACAGAATGCATGGCAAGTCCTCAAAAAATGAAATATAGAATTAACATATGATCCACCAATACCCCTTCTGGGTATGTGGCCAAAGGAATTCAAAGCAGAAGCAGAATCTCAAACCAGTATTTCCACACCCATATTCATAGCCACATTATTCAAGACAGCCAAAAGGTAGAAGCCACCCAAGTGTCCATCAAATGAAATATTATTCGGCCTTAAAAAGAAAGGAAACTAACACGTGCTACCACGTGGCTCAATCCAGAGGACATTATGCTAAATGAATTAAGCCAGTCATAAAGAGACAAATACTGTAAGATTAATTTATGTGTGGTAGCTAGAAAAGTCAAATGCACAAAGATAGAAAGTAGAATGAAGTTTTCCAGGGTCTGGGGTGGGAGAGGGGTCTGGTGCTATAAGGTTTCTGTTTTGCAAGAGAAGTTTTGGAGATCGGCTGCACAATGATGTGAATGTACTTGACACTGCTGAACAGTACTTCAAAATGATTACGATGATAAATTTTTATGTTATGTGTATTTTACAACAATAAAATTTTTTAAAAGAAATATGAAAAAGAACTAGTATAAATAATGAACTGATTTTTTAAAGTCTTTTAAGATCCATAATATCTCTGTTTATCTGACCTACCCACAATGATCCTTTTTTATTAAAATGAGATGTTATTATTTGCCTATAACATGTTAAAAGTTTAACTATTTGGGGACGCCTGGGTGGCTCAGGTGTTTAAGCATCTGACTCTTGATTTTGGCTCTGGTCATGATCTTAAGGTTTGTGAGTTAGAGCCCCACATCAGGCTCTCCACTGTCAACACAGACCTTGCTTCAGATCATCTGTCTCCTTCTCTCTCTGCCCCCACTCTCAAAAATAGTTTATTTTTTTTAATTAAAAATATAAAAGTTAATTATCTTATTTTATTTATTTTTATTGTATTTTTTAGTATAATTTATTGTCAAGTTGGTTAACATACAGTGTGTACAGTGTGTTCTTGGCTCTGGGGTAGATTCCCATGGTTCATAGCTTACATACAACACCCAGTGCTCATCCCAACAAGTACCCATCAGGCATTTTTCCCTCCCCAACACTGCCATCAACCCTCAGTTTATTCTCTGTATTTTAAGAGTCTCTTATGGTTTGCCTCCCTCCCTCTTTGTAACTGTTTTTCCCCTTTCCCTTCCCCCATGGTCTTCTGTTAAGTTTCTCAAGTTCCACATATGACTGAAAACATATGATATCTGTCTTTCTCTGCCTGACTTATTTCACTCAGCATAATACCCTCCAGTTCCATTCATGTTGCTGCAAATGGCATGATTTCATTCTTTCTTCTTGCCAAGTAGTATTCCACAGTATATGTAAACCACATCTTCTTTATCCATTCATCTGTTGATGGACATGTAGGCTCTTTCCATGATTTAGCTATTACGGAAAGTACTGCTATAAACATTGATGTACATGTGCCCCTTATCTTATTTTAAAAATTGAAATGAACTGTTAATATACCACTAAAAATACGGAATGAGAATTTGAAACTTAATTTTTTTAATTTCTTTTCTTTAATGCTTTATTTATTTCTAGGAGAGAGAGAGAGAGAGACAGCATGAGCAGGGGAGGGTCAGAGAGAGAGGGAGTCACAGACTGAAACAGGCTCCAGGCTCTGAGCTGGCAGTCAGCACAGAGCCCGATGCGGGGCTCGAACCCACGAACCGCGAGATCATGACCTAAGCGAAAGTCGGACACTTAACCGACTAAGCCACCCAGGCGCCCCCCCTTTTTTTTTATTTCTTAAAGTAATACATTTTCCGTTGAAATGAAATGTACAATAATTAAGGGCAAGGTGATCTGACTTAGCTCTGGTTTTCTCCCTCTGTTTAATATTGAGTGCTTTCAAAGTTTCTAAAATTAGAGTTTTTGGAGGAAAGAAGATGAGGAAGTATCTGAAAATAACTGTAGAGGCAGAACTCATTCCCCAACTAATCCCAAAAACATGTACCGAGAGTATATAGTAGGGTTCCCATAGCTTACTGACTAGAAATAACGAGCTTTGGACATTTGAGTCCAATGTCCAGAGCTTCTATGTCTACATAGAATTCCTATCTATGTGTCAGTTTGCTCATATAGAAAAGGGGCTAGTAATAGTACCCCATAACCCAGGGTCAGTATGATGACTAAATTAGCAGATGTGAAACATTTTGAACAGTGCAGATTCTGCACTATCATCACAAAGTAAGAAATACTCAATCCATTTCACCCTCTTATCCCTCTTCCAATGTTTACCAGAGCTGCTATGAAATAGGTCGGCCTTCCATCATGCCCAAGAAATATAGCAGTTGATGATTCCTTTTATTTTAAAGAGATATAAACAGGAGATGCATATGTTATTTAATTCACGCAGTAAATATCATCGGTATATACCATCATCAGCTGAATAAAATGTTCGTTTTGTTGAATCAGTAATTGATCTTTATAATCACTAAGTTCCACACCCTGGATTAGCTTTTCTGATTCTATACTATAATAGTTTTCCAGAATAATTCAATAAGTTCCTCAGCCAATATTGGTCCTAATTAAAAACATCTTACCAAAGGAAAAGCTAGTATGTTAGGAAGTAGTTCAGTAACAATGATAAAACCAAAGCAAGTCGAGGCAGTGTGAGAACATACAAGAAATGGAATTCATAGAGAGATTCAAAAGATTGTATTTACAAAAGCTCATCTCTCTCTGAAGACTCTTAAATATGATGTTAATTGTACCATGAAAAGGAGAAGATAAACAATCGAAATAAGAGTCTTTGGGGGGGGGGGACGAAAAAACACTGTCAACAACAGAAAGGTTAAAAAAATACCCATATTGTTCTTAGAATTCTAATCCAAGACTTTAGCCTTTTAGTCTGCACAGGACTAATGAGGCGCTGAATTTGACATTGACAGTACCTTTGTTGTTGTTCGTGTGTGTATTTTGCCATGAAGGTGTAGAGCATCACCTAACCCAGAAGTACGTGTCGAGTCTGTACTGAGCTTGCTTTTTAATTATACAAACGAGAACAGCTAAACAGGAAACAGGCCCCTAAGAGCTTTTGGTTTACTGATGGCAATAGAGTCTTCATAGGAGGATTCCAGAATACCTTACTCCATTTATCATCATGTGAAATGCAACTCAAAACTTTCTACACTCCTTAAGCAAAATATTCTCTGCAGGCTCCTCTTCAGCGAATTATTCCATTGCTGTTTTGCATCTTCAAAGAGAAGAGAAAATCAAAGACAGATTTGGCATTGTGTTGTTTGCAAAACACCAGAAAATCTCAAATGATGCAAAACAGAAGAGACAGTAGCTTATTTGACCTTTGAAAATTTCCACTGCTCTTTTTATACCCATTGATATAAATGACTAAGCAGTTTAAGTGTTTATTCACAGAACCCACTATAAAGTCATACTTTTGCCATTAGTTTCGCTGATAAATGTTTCCCATCCACATTCAGATATGCATATTTGTTTCTGGGGCATTCGAGTCAGGACAAATAACACTAAAATTTCATTATATATCATTTATATCGAATTCAAAATACTCAATTACTTTGTACCTGGTTAACACACTTCAATATTTGATTTTACTTGTTCACTCAACAATGGTAACTGTAATATCTGGATCCAAAGACTTAGGAAAAACCTGGAATCAATCATTTAGAATGTGAAAAATTATAGACTTCAAAGTTAGAAATTAATAAAGGCATTAGTTGAAGCCAGATGATGCCAAATAAAAAGAAGGATCAACCAGCTTGTTAGGTGAACAAAACTTGTCAAGTAGAGCCTTGCAGACAATTCCCATATGAGAAAGACAGTCCATTTCCCTTAATCATTTCGAATTTGCACCTGAAATCTAAGTGAGTACTGACAGAGAATCCCATCCACAACTCTCTCTCCATAAGCTGTTCTTGAAATATATTTCATTCAAAAGAAAATTCTGCATCTGTGTTTCAACACTTTCTTGAAAGAGAGCCTCTCTTTTATTCTTGTATACATGCAAGGCATATTATAAAATGCAGTGCCGTTCTACAATATCTTCAGCCACATTTCAACTGTTCTTTCTTTCCCCTGTAATCTTTCTTGATTATGTACAAAGAGTATGACCATCAAAAGGATAATAAATGGCCTCTGCCACTGGGGTGTGTAATACGTATAGTGGGAATTGATTTGTTGGTTATGAAGGAAGGCATAGAGCACACAGATCACTGCAAAATCACATTGAGGCCAGCAACTACTCCTCGGTTCATGCAGGCAACTCCTCTATCGCTCACAGGGTGAGCTGCCAGAGGCTGAGAAGAATGGTCAGGTCATCCAGTATTCAGCTATTAAATGAAACCTATTTCTCTGAACTTGGGCCACATTTCATATGACACACATCTATCCCCCTTCCATGCCCGGTCCTGATAGAGACCCGATACCAAGCAAGATTTCTATGATCCATCAGTGTAATAATAATAATAAAAAGAAAGACCAAAATTTCTTTCCAAAAAAAAAAAAAAAAAGCATGGAATGTATTCTTCTAAA